ATCTGTCTATTACTAGTGTCAATAAACAGTGTAATATGTTATGACATTGCTCATAAATACAATATAAATTTCAATATAAAGAAAGAAATGAAATCACAACAAACCTTTAATTAACACATATCTGGCATTTACATAAACAGGTGACATTGTTTATCTTTCATAACAATTGTTCATAACAAAATCAAAATACACGTAATATCAAATTATATATACTAGCTCACTTTGCAAGCGTTAAGCTAGCTGCATTTCTATTAAGAAAAGCACAGTACGTTTTTCTTCTAATTATTTTTTTTTTTAATAAATTTCAGCCAAAGCTACTAGGAAGGACAAAGAAAAAGAGGATGCCAAACCTACTGTATTGAGAGGTGTCTATATGCTACCTAATGGTGATAAGTATGGTAAGCAATCATTTGGATTCTTGTAGAAAGAAACACAATTATATCCCAATACATACATTGAAAACCTAACCAAACTCAAAAATTCAGCCGTATAATTATTAAAAAATTTGATAACTGCTTGAAATCTTAAAATACTACAGTCATCACTCCGCATCATGTTCGATATGGGATCCATAGTGACACACACAGCACGTGTAAAAACATTGTTTATTTACATGAAATCTTTTGAGTACCAAATTCTTCACAAAAATGGTGTAAATTTGTTCAAACTATCTGTAATTTTCACTGAATTCAGACGTAACTAAACAGACAAAATGTGATGATATTTCTAGTTTTTGATCGACAAATTTGAAAATTTGCATCAACATTTGATATGGGAAGGAGCAGTCTTTAAATGAGACTGTTTGGTGGATAGTGGCTGAAGTTGACTCAGTGCTAAAATAGTGAATGCATATCCCCTGCTTGATAGTCTCCACAGGTAGCTAGTATGAATGGTACATAATGACAGACAATGATGTTAATGTACATCAGATTGTCAAAGGTAAAGGGAGGTGGTTGTCACAAAACGAATTGCCTGTAAACAAACAATGTTTTTTTACATGCACTGCGTTGCTATGGGTTACCTACCAAACACAATGTGACATGACAACCTTTAAGAACACTTAATCGTTGATTTACAACAATTATACATTTTAGATAAATGTTTATTGAGATAAATTGGAGTCAAGTAGCACATGTAAATATTGTTACATGTGCAGCCAGACACAGGAAGTACGCACTCTCCGATGGCCACTTTTTTCAATTTAACCATATGTAAAGAGATACAGATTTTACATCTATCATTTGGGATATGTAATGTCGGAAACAGGAGTGAAAAATAATGTTCCAAATGCATTTGTATTCAGGATTCATACTGTAAGGCGCTTAATTTTACGAGAGATCAACTTTGGCGAATTTTGCTCGTCAGTGGAAATTGTAAAATTTTGTTGCAGTGGAAATTGCATATGGAGTTCCAAAACACATGGTTATATCAAATTTCTCTAATTTGTGTAATTTGGGTAACTCATCAAATTGTAAAGATTTGAAGCATCAACAAATAAAGGGTTTACAGTATTTTGTAAGATAGAAACTCTGGCATGCGTACATTTTGCCAATACAGACAGAAAATAAATTTTCAATAGTTTTATATGGATGCATCTTAGATAGAACATACTGCAAGAAAGAATTGGACAATCTTTTTATACCATTTGGCAATACCGTATTTGCTCTATTACAAGCTCATCTGCAGTAGAAACAGTCTAAATTATAAATTACATCTGTTGTCTGATGAAGCATTAAAATATAACTTACTTTGACCTTAGGAACACATCTGTAATTTACATAAAGCGTTATATGCCCTTCCCCTCTTAATAGAGCAAATGTGGTAAGTCAAAAATTCCTTCTGAAATGTATTTAAAACTTGTATTTAGCACATATTGCCACCTTGATGACAGTAATGCACATGAGAAAAGGGGACTTGCTATTTGTATTCTATTGTAATTTTATTTACATGTATTTGTGTGTTTTTTTATAAGATGGAGAGTACAGCAGGTCTGAAGAGGGTGTACTAGAACGTAATGGATATGGCGAACACACAACATCTGAGGGGACCGTCTATCAAGGAAATTGGGAAAATGACAAAATGAACGGGCATGGCAAATTAATGCACCCCAGTGGAGCTATTTATGAAGGTGATTTCGTTAATAATCAGTTTACTGGAAAAGGACGCTACACGTGGCCGGACGGCTCTTATTACGACGGCCCATTCATTGAAAACAGGTATAGACAAACTTGTTATTCATTATTTATTATTTTTAACTGTTGTCACAAAATATACCCCCTTAAAATTTTGTTTCCCATATTTTCAAGAATATTTGATTAAGATCTGAAGGTACTGGGGAGTTATGTTAATTTATTTCAAAATTAACAATTAAAGAAATGATAGAAAAATATATAAAAATGGGAAAAAAGTTTTTGTGCATTATAAAATATAATCAATAATTGACACAGTGTGCCTAGCGAATGACCTGACTATCTGATTTGATTTTTGGTGAAATTATTCAAAATTTGAAATTGCTAAATTTTGTCAACATTAATCCAATGTTATTACAGGACACCAAAAATAAAAAAAATTAAAAAATTGGGTTCATCAGACTATTTCGAAAAAACAAGAAGTCAAAATGTTGTGGAAAATAGTAAAAATAAAATTTTCAATAAATTGCTCTTCCAGGCAATATAACGATATTGACTTTAAAAAAGTTGGGGGTCACCAGTCTAATTTTTGAAAAAAATGATGGTTGTATTTTAGTGGGTAATTGCCATTTTGTAAGTATTATTATGCTTGTTCCTATGGCAGAGTTATTATGCCAAATCTCAAATTGTAGTCTGGTTACATAGGCTGTAAAAATCCTATATAGTAAATGAAGGGGTACTTATTGTCCTAAATTATTTCAATAATCTGGGTTTTGAAAAAGAGTCAGTAAATGCAATTTTTCTTTAACATTGAGTTCTATGCATGTTTTACAACAGATCAATGGTAAATGTTCCGTTAATGGTTTTTCATAAGGGACTGACAATTGTGTGGTCTACAGAAATTTTCGACTTTCCTTTCATCAAGTCTATGGCCAAGAAAAAAGGAAAGGTGTTATGGCTTCTTAATTTGGAATCTTTGAAGTATTACCATAAGATCTGTATTAGAACCTGCATCTTTTTGAACAACTGAGAACCAAAAATTAACCATTTTTCATCTCCCTGTTTCATTTTAATAATAATACAGATTTTACAGTTAGTGACACAAAGTTATGTTGAATTTGTTAAAACAAGTAAATCCAGTGAAAGTCTTGGCTATTTGAGGCACTGACATAAAAATTTACCATAACATAAGCCCTCTCCTCATTCAGTAATCCCAGCATGCATTAAAATGCTTATTTATTCATGTCATATTTCTTCCCTAGGATGGAAGGTGAAGGCGAGTTTACAGACACTGACTCTCAAGTCTGGACTGGTACATTCCGATACAAAGCAGCACCTGGTCTTAAATTCAAACTTGGACTTTAACAGACAGTGCATATATAATAACAGAATACCTGGATATTTGAATTAAATGTAGTCCTTTTCTTTGTAAATACTTATTGACTTTTGTTACTGATTAGTGTGTATAATTGTTGTATATGACAGATGTACAAAGATATTATTTGTTAAGAGTTTTGTAATAAAATGAAAATCTCTGAAAACATGTCTTTCTTGTGAATACTTAGTTTTCGATCGCTATGACATCGAATACAGGCATGCCCTCATACAATGTAAATTGAATTTCTTTTGTTTTTATCTGCTCAGTCCACTGATACCACATGCTGGTTCAGGAGTGAAATTTGTCTGGTAAATATTGTTGAATTGAACAAATTATTTGTTGTGCTATATTGCCAGCTGGTGCTAAAACACACTGTATGCTAAATTATTAATTATTATTAATATCATGTATGTCCATGATGATGACAAATAAGGGTTTTCCCCAATTGTTAACACATACCATACAAATTATACTTTTTTAGTGCCCGTCAGACCTTGTGCCCATCGTTTCCCATGCATGCCTTTGCCAATATCATTCAAAATTGGTACTGATATCACTCACTTTTGCATGTCATTTTGTTTTGGGATTTTATTCAAAATGGTCGACTGGTAGTTATTTTATTTCTCACATATTCTATTCGTTTTTTCGATATATCCATCCACATACTTTATTTATAATTTATTGCAAAGGTAAGAAGTAATGTTCAATTCAAGACATTCAATTACCCACCATAGACTCATAGATTTTCTTCCACGTCACGCAAGACATAACTGAGGCAAAGAAGTCAGTGTCATCTTGCCCCATCTTCACTTTCTTTTTTTCCCCGCACGAGTGTGCATCGGAGCCAAACAGTGCGGTTCAGCAGTTTTTCAACAGATTTTCCTGAGGTACTCCTGTGACTGTTGGTAACAGTAAGACTCGGTGTCTGGTAGGATAACATTTTACTTATTAGGGGCCTGTATTCTTTTTGTACCGATCGCAAAAAAACTCGGATGACGCATTTGACCACTTTTGTAGGACTTCATTGTGTCAGTTTCAACTGGAATTGCGTTCCACTCATGCGTGCCTTGTTCACATCTTAGTGTAGTTTAAATGGACTAGAAGGAAGGAAAGCACTCCAAGAAGAGCTCCTCACCTTCCAGGTCGTCACCCAAAAAATCGACTCGGCCTTGCAGGAATTGTCACCATTGTTTAGAATGCGTTCTGGTTTCAAGGTTTTTGCCATGAGTGCATGTGCTTTAATTGAACCCGAAAACCTGGGATAGTTTCAGAACCGCGCTTATGTTGCAGAGACTTAACGCGTTGCCCGAGTTTGGGTTAGTCGAGCCTACAGATTGGGCGACACCACCGGTGTGAGTGAGAGGAGTGTTAGTATGAGTGGGAAGTCCTTCCATTCAACTACAGGTACCTCAAATGCGTCAAGTTCCCCAGGAAGCGACGTTTCCTTCCCGGGATTCCATTGAAGCAGTTGCCCTGTTAGATCCAAGGCAACACCGATTGCGCGGCTCCCCTGGCCCGGTAGTTTACTGAATCTGATAGCGCGCAAAGACAGTGTTGATGGGATGCTGTTAGTCCACTGTGGAAGAATATAGTCCTATATATGACTAATGCCTTCCACTGGACCAAGCACTATCCGGTCGGTACTGGAGGTAGTAGAGTCTGGAGCCAAACCTCATGCTCCGAGGGATCCCCCAACCCAGGTACCACAAACTTTTGTTTGCACAGGACGGGTAATGGGGGATGGTCACGTTCCGTGGAGTTTCTCAGCATCTTAGTCAGAAACAGTCCATCATGCCCTGAGAGCAGAGTTGTGATCCATTGGTGCGCCCCGGGACTCTGAAATTTCAAATGTGAAATGCATCAGCCTCCTAGACCAGTAGACACATTTGTTAGGGGGCCATCGCACAGCTATTTGTGATATGCTGCAGTGTCATCTGGCTCTCTTGGCAGGGAAAGCAACGTGGAGCTTCCAGGGGTGTGGAACAGACGGACGCTCTCTCATGGCAACTCTGTTCCAGAACATGGAGTGGCAGGTATGCCTTTGGATAGCCTTCTGACTGTTTCGGCTGTTGGATGATCTGAATATGGACCTATTCGCCACAGCCCGACTCTGACTCCAGGAGCGTGGGCCATGGACGTATTATCAATCCCGTGGGCCCACACAGACGCGTATGCCTTTCCTTCCTTCTCACTGATTTACTAGATACTGGAGAAACCTTGACAGGAGCACACCTGCAACTTGATGTGGTAGTGTCCAACTGGCCCGGTTTTCACTACTGTTGGAAATGTTAGTCGAGACACCGGTAGTGCTTCCGGACATCCTGGATCTGTTGTCCCAGCAGGATGGCACACTACTAATGAGCCCAGCAGTGTACCACTAACACCCAGGGAGGCTCTCAGTAGACTCGCACAGACGTAATGTCCTGGCCGGGGTGAATAGGGGTTACCCCAATGTAACCTATGATTTCAAGTGGTGAGCATACGTTGATTTGTGTAGTGGAAGGGAGATTGATCCATGACACCCCACTGTTGGCTTTTGGGGACAAGACTAGCCGATTGTCCTAGTATTAGGAGACTGTTTACTGCTTTTCATAATCGATGGCTTTGATCCCAATCTAAGGAACCTCCCAATCGGGACTGGTCGGTTGTGTTGTCAGGTCTAAGCAGACCGCTGGAATCAGCACCACTGAAATATGTGACTTTATATTACCTCTCACCTCTAGTAGGCGTAATTCTGAGTTAGGGGCCCTGTCCCTTTCGGATGGTTGTGCCACATTTATGGACAATCAAGCTGTGCTAAAGACATGAACCGGGTTTCTCGCCAAGAACTAAATCTCAGGACATGATCCACAACCGAAAGGGACTATGTAATTTACAATCACTTTCCTTTTTTAGGTTATTTGTCAGGGAAAATTAACATATCATACATGTCAGGTATTTTAACATATCTGTAGCAGATTAATTTCCAATTTTATTAGTTGTTAATGCATGCCACTTTGTAATTTGACTCAAAATTGACAGGTGGCAATTTAAAAAAAAATCTATTCCAGACATATCTTGCACAATAATTATGTCATTCAATCAAAGATGGTTGACTGCTGGGAGCTTTCGTTTTTGAAAAAAAACACTAAAACCACCATAGTATTAACATGTCCAGAACCAGATGTGTCGTTTGATTTTCCCAGTTGCAGGAGTAACCATTACAAGAGGGACTGCTTCCGCCAGTCCTCCAATTACCCAAACTATTTGTCTAAGTTACACAAAGTGGGTGAAGCAGGCTCTGAGAATTACCAGTAGAATATTTACATTTGCTCCCTGAAAA